CCCAATATCGTTAAGTCAACACCAACTCATGGAATCAGAATTAAAATTAAGTGATGTGAAGTGTAGAGTATCCTAAGATTTAATCAAATGAACAATTGAACATACATATGTAGAATACATTAATCATATTGAACCATTTAATCATAATAAGTTTCCAATACTATGGATAAAGAGAATAATAAATAATTTGAGCAAGAGTAATTTATATTACTGATTGCATGAACTATTTTTATGAACTTAAAATATCCCACAAACAGAAAAAGTGGTTAAAATTTTAAAGAGGGTTATTATTCTGGGATAAATGTATCTATTTTATATTTTTGTTGTATTACTATTGTCATTGAGTCAGAAATTACCCGTAGCTGACCCTCCAGTGAGTTATCAGAAGTTGTAAATCCCTTGGAAGGCAATTGCCTTTTTCTTCTGAGAAGCATCAAGTGAATTTGAACTGTGTGCCTTTGGGTTATCAGGGCCACTCTTTACACACTAGGCCACTGGAACATATTATTCTATTTACTTGATCACTAATTTCATGACAAAATTAAATTTTTTGTGATGTTATGAGTGAAATTGTGCCCCTGAAATACATGTTCAACTTCTAACATTTTGGAAAATAATGCTCAAACTCATTGTCACGGAGTCAAAATCTAAATTTTCAAGAATGGTAATGTTCTTGATTGAGATCTATATGTTTTATAGTTGATAGGTGCTGTCAAGTTGGAAGTGACTCATATCTGGCCCCCTCATGGGTGTTCAGAGGCTGTAGATTGCATAGGAGATTGCCCATCTTTCTCTCCCTGAGTAGCAGGGGATTTAAACTGCCTGTGTTTGGTTCGGTAGCACAACAATTAGCTGCAATTATGACCTTATTTGTAAATGGGTTCTTTAAAAGGTGTTATCAGGTGTATTCAGTGTACCATTGTGGTAGAGTGGGTTCAAAGCCCACCTGAGTATTGTACTTAGAGGAGAGATACAGGCAGGCAGAGAAAGGACACGTGATACTAAAGGCTTCAAGTCAAGAAATACCTGGAACTGAAAGAGGCTAGAAGAGAGACAGAGAAGATTCTCCCCTAAAGCTGCAGAAAGAGCTAGCAGTCAACACTCTCATATTTGACTCCAAAACTTCAAAACTGTGGAAAAACAAATACATTTCTGTTATTAAAGTCACTTGTTTTTTTTGTTGTTTCCTATTTTGGTGAAAGAAGTAACACATTTCTCTTGGAGGAAGTGCAATCAGGGAACTTTATAAACGAGGATGATGAAACTTTGTCTCAAGTGTTTTGGACATATTGTCAAGAGAGACCAGTCCTTGGGGAGAAAAAGAAAATCATGCTGTGAAAGTGAGGGTCGGTGAAAGAGATGAAACTCTCAATAACATGGATTGACACAGTAACTGATAATGGCCTTGAGTGTATCAGAGGTCAAAATAGGACAAGGTTTCAGATCTGTTTTTCATAGGGTCCTTATGAGTTGTAGATGATTCCATGGCCGCTAACAACAGCAACTTTGTGGTATTTTGGTATAATAATACTCGAAAACCATGAGAATTTCAGATTTTCTCTGGACATTTTGTTGTTGTTAGGAGGTCTGCCTGTTGTGAACTTGGGAACAGTATGGTTTCCACTACAGTGAATAGCTTGTCCAGTTGTTAATAATTTGTAATGCAGATTCTATGTAAATTTAAAATGTTATGTCTATAGTTTTCTTTACTCTTTTCCAGTGTTTTCCTTTTTCAACATTAGTACAACTTTTCTTTACCTTTTCTCAGTTTTAAACCCTACTATGTTAGCCTTCCAGGATTCATGTGTGTTTTAATGAGTACAAAGAATGAATTCTCATGAAATAGCTTCTGTTAAGACATACAGGACAGTCGTGCTTATAAATAATGACTCTGTCATCTTAGACTTCATTACTTGATACAGAGCTCAAATGTTCAGCATCTACACCTCCTATAATTTACCTGTGGTTGAGAAACAGTATATGTGGTTGCACAAGAGCTCTTCAAACAGATCACATTGTAGGCTTTGTGGAAATTAAGTGATTATTATTGCTCCCTTGCTCATAACACAACCAGGTGTTTTGCTTTGCTTTCATTCCTTTGTAACAATTTGAGACATAATTATATGACATTTCACAGCTTCTCAGACAGATTTGTTTCTTTGGAAAACAGTAACAAAATAAAATCTTGTTTCAAGTAGTGGATATAGTTTTCTCACAGATTCTTGTGAGAAATTTTTGTGAATTAATATTTAATAAAAATATTTACAAGTTAAAAAACTATTACCATATAATATTTGATGCTAAATTATTACTGTTTATTTTTTATTGTTTTATGTAAGATTGCCACAAAATTGAATGAGAAGAATATTTAACAAATTTTCAATTATTTTAATTTTGTGTAAATGACTATGAGTTAAAAATTTTAGGATCCTACATGTCTCTAAAACTCTATGAACGTTGATAAATGTCGATAGTTGTAGAGGGGCTTCAAGCCTTTTGTTCATAGGGTTGCTATGAGTCGTGCTTGACTCAAAGGCAATCAACAACAACAACAATGGCAAGAAGCTGCGCTGCAATCCCAAAGGCAAGGGGGTATGAGGCCACCAGCTGCTGCTCTGTGTTAAAAGGATGGGCAATCTCCTCCCGTGCAATTAACCGCCTCTGAAAACATGCAGAAGAGTCAGCTGTGGGTCAGTCCTGAGCAGACGATAAAACAACAACAAGCATACATACATACATACGTACATACATTTTCATGGTGTTGGGGACTGAGTCTTCTGGGTAGGTATTTCCAAGAGACTGAAAAATTGACCCCGGAACCACCCAAAAGACATCAGGTTTATTTAAGCTGAGGGAGTTAACAGACCAGGAGAGCCACAAAGAGGAGGGCTGGGTGGTCATAAGGTTTCACAGGGTACTTGTTAGAGATTGAGAAGAGATTCAAGAGCTATCACACCCCCAAGGTCTAGCACAAACTTTACTAAAGGAACTAAGCGGCACTAAAATAGACCGAAACAACAGCAACAACAACAACAGCAACAAAAACAAAAACAAGAACACAACAAATCTCCCTACAGTCAAATGGGAACAGATCATAGTCGACCCCACAGAACGAATTGGGACACTCAACTTCATGAGAGGAGATTGCTTTCTTTCTCCTTTGGAGCAACTGGTAGATTCAAACAGCCAAAGTCATGCTTCGTTGTACTGACAGCTCAGCTTCCTAAGGACAATGCCATCAGAGTTCCCCAAAGGAACTCAAGTGCAGTCTTTGGAGGGGACCTGAGCTGGGTGCCTTACATATAGTATTGATTTATTATTATTGCAATTTTTGTTGTTATTATTATTTGGAGATATGCACTGTGATGTGATTGCTGTTGTTGTTGTTGTCCCATCGAGTCAGAACTGACCCATAACTGACCTCCCACCAGGTTTCCAGAGTCAGTTTATTTAACTGCATGGGGGGAGATGGCCCATCTGTCTCCCTCGGAGCAGCTGGTGGATTTGTTCACATGCCTTTGGGATTGTGGTACAGTTTCTCACCACTAGGCCACCATAGCGCCTTTAATAATGTAATATTAAAGAAAATCTTATTTCAAATGCTTCACAGTTACTGTATTTCATTTTCTTAGGCTGTCTTGATGAAGCCTTACAAACTGGATGAATGTTATGGGAGAATAGATGCTGTAATCAATATCTGCTGTTGGTGATCCCTTCTGAAGTGCTTAAGGGAGAATCTATTCTTTATCTTACTCCTAAATTCTGGTGACTGTAGTGATCCTTGTTTCTTGCTTGTAGATCATTCTAATTTGGGCATTTTTTTTCTTCACATGAGCATCTTTCTTCTGTGTGCTTTTTGTGGCCTCACTCCTCTCTTATAACAATATCACCATGATCAATTTAGGAGTCACCTAAATTCAATATGGCCTCATGTTAGCGAACAAGATTGTCAAAAGAACCTTTCCCAAACAATGTCACGTTCACAGGTCCCAGGAGTCAAGACTTCAATGTGCCACTGTACACGCACTTCTATTTTGAGTTTTGAAGCAGATTTATTTTCAGAGCTCAGTTCTTTCATGAATTTCACACTTATTGATTAAATAGTTTTGTTTTCTATGTTTTTAAATATGTGGAGCATTGTACTACACTCTCAGGAGCACTGAGATCGTTATAGAGTTATTGTATAACCTTAAGCAATATAATTAAATTCTCCAAACTACAGTTTTCTGATTTGTAAAATGAAACCACCAATGGTGTTTACTCCATAAGGTAAGCCAATAAAAAAACCAAAGAACTCCATAAGGAGGTTTTATATATATATACGTTCTACCATAAATAGGAAATAAGTATACAATCTTATATTGTCATTCAACAAAATTATGTTAAATTAATTAATAACAAATATTATTTTTTAAAAGTTTTAGAACTTGAAATCTGTTGAAGAAAAGACAATACGGGGGAAAATCAGAATTTTTGTGTTATGAGTTGGTTTATTTGTTATAATGTTAGTATTACAAATCATATCAATTTATATTATTCTCTTTTGACTGAATAGCATTAATTAAATTGTACTGTATTTACATTTTTTATAGTCTAGATAGTTGGTGGTGTAATCTATAGAGAGATGTGCTATTCACCCAAAAGTCAAGTTTCTCTGGCAATTTGAAACTTCTGGTGGTTCTTCCCATTTTTTCCTATGGGAAGAGAATGGACGATCTACTTCTGTTGTGATTTGCTGCCTCAGAAACCAGATGAACGATGGCTTTCCATCAGAACCAACTAGACAGCATAGAGTTATGAATCTGATATTTATTTACTTGCCTTACACATTACATTAAACCCAATTACATTCTATTCTTTGCCATTTTCTCCTTAAAGGATAAATATCTATTAATTAGAAATATTTCATAATTCATTAACTTTTCCCTTCTGGCAAGATTATATTTGTCAATAGAAAAACAAACCTTATGTGAACTTCTTTGTTTTTAAATTTTATTTAGGCAACAGACCCAGATGCTGGAATAAATGGCCAAGTATACTATAGTTTGGCTAACTTCAATAATCTTTTTCGCATCACGTCTAATGGAAGCATTTATACATCAGTGAAACTTAACAGAGAAGTCAGGGACTACTACGAACTGGTTGTGGTGGCAACTGATGGAGCAGTACACCCTCGTCATTCAACTCTCACACTGGCCATCAAAGTTTTGGATATTGATGATAATAGTCCTGTGTTCACCAATTCAACTTACACCGTCGTCGTCGAAGAGAATTTGCCAGCTGGGACCACCTTCCTTCAAATAGAGGTATGTGGAGGAAGTGTTAATGTTATCATTACTAATTAATCATTATAAATTTTACCATTAAGATAGTATTGCCAGATTTAGCAAATAAAAATGAAAGGCACCATTTAAATTTAAATTTTGTTTAAAAAGTTACTAAAT